TCATGAAGAGACATAGCAAGCATTCTTCGCCCATCATGGGCAGTGCCGTCTCTTCAGCTGGCGTCCCTGACCACGTTTCACATCCGTACGCCAAGACCGAAATATATAATTCGAAAATATGAATATTTTCAGTATTTTGCGAATGGAAGGGAAACGAAAGCCTTCTTTAGTTAGAAGTGTTATTTTGAGGGTGAAATCTCGGATAGCCGGGCTAAAATTGAGGTACAGTTGTAGCAGTCATGCTGAATTCGCGGTAACGGAGGCAAACCTTAATTTGTATATGGCTCTTCATAGTTCTTCTTCGATCTCGCCGATGGCCTCCTTTTCGTTCGTATAGCATATGTGAGTATTCATTATTAGTTCCTCATCACTGGTGCCGCATGAACGACTTTGCTTTTCGTTCCTACGTACATTATCTTAATTGGATTGTTCACATAAAGAACAGATCCCTCGCTTCTTTGCGTTGGCAATGGTGTTATGCTCTCCGAGTATTTACCATGGGGAGTTTCATGGTTTGCTATTGCGCTGTTAACTTCTTGGCAAGCTTGGCATTCTTTTTTTGGTGGGTCTCTGTGCCTGTACCTGTAGATCTTGAAAAATGATTCAGCGGAAAATTGTCAAGTACTTTTATTTTCATTTAAATGTTATGCAACAACTGTGCAAGTTCCATCATTTTTTGAGGTGCTTTATGAAGAGGGCGAATACTTTGCGAAATACCAAGGGATCAAGTTCGTTGAAACTTCGGCTGTCACAGGTGAAAACGTTCAGGTCGGTAAACTTTCCAGGCATATGAAATATAAAAATAATCACATTCTAGATACGCTAATTACTGTATGGTAAGGCTATTGATACTTTCCTTTCCCAAAAAACACTTCCTGCAAAGTAATCTTTGAACAATGTTATGCCATTATTTTGCATGGAACAAGGCCGGAGAAGAGAACGAGAAGGAAAAAGAAAGATAATTCACTTACACTGAAGGACAGTGACCTTGTTTCAGTGAGCTGGTCAGGAACGGTGCGATAGGCTGCTTTTGCTGCATAGTTTTGCTCTTAATAAGCGAAAAATGCTGCATTTTTAAGCAGTTTCTGCATTCGTGAGTATAACTCTTCGACAAGTATTTTCTGCCAGAATCACAAATTTCGCGCTCCTTAGTGTTTGATAGTTTTTCAGAAGTAGGTAGAATGATAGTACACTGTTAACAGCAACTACATGTTGGCAACGCTGTCCTGCCGATGGATTTGTCTTTTGAGCTCCACATGATCGAATTTTGGCTCCTTAACATGCATCAGTACAAAATTAGCATTAAAATGAAACTAGAAACAGTAGAAGGTTTAGTTTTTCCATCGCGGAATCGAAACTTCGATCAACATCGCTTATGCGCTAAGTACACGCAGTTACTGCAAATTTTTAATGTGAAATAGTAAAGATTCGG